GAAAGCCGTGGACCTAGAACCACACTGTAGCTTCGTCCGGGGGTGGAGGGTTGGGGGGGGCGGGGGTGTCTTCAACTGCATAGAACGTTTTTGCTTGCATCACAATGAGAGTGCTGTGGTCAAACTTGATGTGGTTGTGGTTGCGCAGACAATAAACCGGCACTCTCGGCGCACTCAAAGAGTCAAAACATATTTCAATGGAGAAATCGTCCTCCCACCGGGTATGACAAAGGCTTGATACTATATTCACAACATTTCTAGAGATGAACAACATTTAACCGGAGTGGATATGAGCAAGCAAATGAACTTTTAACTGATTTTCGTAAAAATGGGAAAAGTGTATGATTCATATCAAAGTAATCAAAGGACCTCATCTACCAAATGAGCTCACCTCGCTCTCTGAAGAAAGTTGACTAAACTCAACCGTATCAGGAATAGGTCGATATGCATAAACATAATCGTATGATTAACAGTGTGGCATAAAGTTTTGATTTCATTCACTGCCTCGGTTATGGTGACCCCAGAGGTTTGTCATCTTTCAGGATGTAGCTGAGTGTTCGGTACTCAGTTCTAATCTGGGCTGTCCCAGCCAGCTAAGGGACTTTCTGGCCAACTGCCAAATATGAGGTCACAACAACACACAGCCCTTAACTGGAAAAATCTGGACATGTGATTAGTTTAGGTAGTAGTTCAGTTTTCAGAGACGTGATCTGGACAAGATTAGTTTTACGAGCACAGCTAAATCTTTTTTACACATAAAATATGTTTTTTTTTTTAAATTCAGATAGAAACAGTACGTTTCTCTTCCTATTGGACAGGACATGGGTAATCAGTCAGAACAGGAAATTCTACTTCCTGTAAGTCTGCTCAAAAACATAACCAACTTAAAAAAAAAAATCTCTTTTTCTTTTTATTCAGAATATCCTACACTGGGCAAAACAGATTTTTTTTTTTTTTTTTTTAGGGCTTGCTTGAAATGTATATTTATGATCAAATGTCTTTCAAAATTGATCGTGAAGTGTCTTTATTAGGTGGTAGTAGGGCGACACCTGCTGGTCGACACAGAACGTACATGCTCAACAGTGATATTCTCTGGAGCCGACTGCGCAGTACTCTCTTTCAACAGTAACTAAAATGAATCACTTGTTACAGTCGAAAAAGCACTGTGAATAATATTTCTGAATAAAAACCTAAAAACACATCAGCCAGCATGTCTCGCAAAATGTGAATTTATCAAAGATCATCCTGAGGTACCTCCCGCTGGTCCTCCGCAAGTGTACATTCACGACTGTTGCCTTACCTGGGTCGAGGTGCGTGAAAGTGCCGATGACAAAGTCGAGTGTGGAGATGACCAGCACCGCCAGCAACAGCAGTTGGAGTCGAACAATCCACTTGACACCTGCCAGGTTGATTCCCAACAGGGCGAGCAGTACTGCAGCTGACATGCCTCGCACTGCCCACTGACTCTGAAGAGCCAGCAGCTGTGCCACCGACTCCGAAAATCCAGTGATGTACATGGCACCGGCAACGCACTGCGGCAGAAGGCAGGCGACATGGTCTGACTTACTTCGATGTCGGCAACGGAAAAAAAAAAAAAAAGTGTGAATCTAATTTGGTTCTCACCTGTCCAAACACATAGAGGAGGCCCATAGTGCCTCCCAACCTGCCCCCAAGGACTGTGGAGATCATGGAGTACACACCTCCACTTCCCACCCCGCAGTACTCACACACTCCAATCCCAGACATCACTGTCACCAAAGCAAACAGAACCACCATGGAGACCAGGAGCATCCCGAGCAGCACACCTGTGTTGCCCTGGAAGATAAGCAAACCAACACTGCAACGTGTCTTCAAAAGAGGCTTTCGTTCACTTCCTTATGATTAACTCGGCGATAAATCAAGGCATTGGAGCATAGGACATTTGTTGAGGAAATACAGTACACAAGTACAGCGGGCTATGACCCTTTCATCCACCCTGTAACATGATAACATGGTAAGCTGTCCACTGTGTTAACCGCTGTCCCTGAAAGGGTTCATTTGAATTTCCGGTTCTATGGTCATTTTTCTACTTTGTCAGCACTAAGATCATATCACAAGGGGGGAAAAATATGGCCAACTATGCTGAAATTCTCAACAAAAAAAGGACTGAGCTGAATTCTCACAACATGTTCTTTGTCTCTGTTCAATTTTGGGGGCATACGTTTCCACAGTAGGAGTAGTCGTATAACAAACGGCATGTACTCACCACTAAGTAGCCAGTACGCAGGAATAAGACAACGCCAAAGATGTTAATCATGCACGTGGTGAAGACACCATCCCAGGTACCAAAGAGAACCGGCTCCCACACAAACAGCTTGATTCTCCACCAAGGCTGACAGGACTGCTGAGAGCCCTGGACCAAGAAAAACTACAGCTCTTCAACTCCTACTGTGACATCACAAATAAATCATGCAACTGCAGGCCATTGTGCTGTTAAAACATAATTTGTCCATCAGGTGACTTTATCTTTTGTTATTTATGTCTAAAGCTCTCAATCCTTTTATTTTACCTTTAAGCAGGCGGCTAACATACGAATAATGAAATGCCAACATTGGAAACTGCCACGTCAAAGCCAAACTTGTATTTGTGCAAAGGGCGATGTCTTTTCATGAAACAAATGAAAGCAAATGTTGATTTACAAGTAAAACCTCTCTCTCCTCTGTGATAAAACTGCATGTTTGCCTGAACTGTTTTACAGATTTTATTATGGTGAATGTCGTGTACAGTACAAAACCAGTGCGTATGTTTTTGCTCCGCTCAATCGCAATTCAAAAGCTCAAGCTAACAAACGACAGAGGGTCTGTGTTATTGCTTGATAATCAGTCTCCTCACAAGTCCTGTGCATTTTTTTTTTCCTGAAAAAGAAAAATCTAGAAGTTATTCATTTTTAAGGGTACCGTTAGATGAGTTTGAAATTATATTAAAGAGGTCAAGGACCACAGTGTGTGGTCCGCTGCATTAGAGTACTAGCCAACAATTTAGGCTACAGTACTTGTGGTTTTGGGTTCATTATATTGGTTTTTTTTTGCAGAGAAAACAGAACTGTGCATGTAAAACTATGAAGAAAAGTCGGACCTCACCTTTGCATCCTCGTGGAACAGATCTTGCTCGTGAGGGTTGGCGTTGCTTAAATTTCCCACCTTCAGCAGACCTGCTCCATTGCCCTCCTGATCACTGGCATGCACTGTCCATCTCTCTGGTACGGACTCCATTGTAACCTACAGTGTTCGTGTAAGTGACCACCAGAACGTTAGAGGTTAAGTTCAGGCATGGGTGTTTAGTTAAAAAAAAAAATAAAGACGGTGAAAAAAATGGGATGATGGATAGGCAAAGGTGTCTTCTATTGAAAAAAAAAAAACAAACATGAACAAAGCCTACTCAAAATAAACAAAATAAACAAGCCTGCTACCAGGGAGTCACATTCGGGAGATCGCAGAATCACAACATGACATTGCTATTTCTAAGGGGTCTCCAATTATTGTTGATATGAACCACTAGCAGTTGTCCCTCGGGGTCCCTTACTCCCCACCAGCAAGCAACAGATTGTAAGGGGCCCTGTTTGAGGGGGTCACCGACGCATTGTCGTTGCTATCGCTTGGGTTGTTCGCCTTGTTCACTTCATAGAGATACTTGTTTCAATCCCTTATTCAAGAATAACATTTAATTCTCTTGTTAGAGAAATAATTTATGTGTAACGGGGATCCTGTTAGGTTACAATAGCAGACATCCGGATTCAAGCACACAAGTAGTACAGCTAACAACCAGGATGCAAACTAGCATGAAGGAACACAATTATGAATGAAGGATAGCGACAACTTCTTTTCGTTTTTACTTTAACCAACTTGGTGTTTTGATATATGCTCGTTTGATGATAACTTAGATATTTTACATTCACTATTGAGTAACTTTTACTCTTCAAGGGGTTTTAGTTAATTCAGAAAAATCCAAACGACATGCGAGGGAACATGGTTTATCCTATTTAAAAACCTACCTTGCGTAAAATAGAATTAGTACACGCTGAGGATAAAATGACTTAAAAAGCCAAATGTTTCCATGGTCCGAGCGTGTGTATGAAGGTGTGCAGCTGGACTGAAGGTTGTATACTTTGTTTGCAGGGTGTTACTGTTTTGCACAATGAACCTCTGTTGGTTTTGGCAATAAATCTAGTAGCTAAGGTTTGCCAAAGATCACAGCTGAAATGAGGCACATACGTGTCAGTGTCCTTATCTTTTTTTTAAGATAAATGTATAAATAAAGGCAATGAAAACGATGTTTGCACGGAGACTTATTTTTAAAAAATCTCGTTTAGTGCAAGGGGAAACTTAAGCAGGCACTATGAAAACAAAACACTGAAAATCCAAATCAAAAATTCCAATACATTTTTTGGGAAATATTTTATTCATATGGACATGACACGACACTCAAGAGAACAACTTAATCAGATTGTTTACAAATCATCATATATTGTAAAATTCTAACGGTATGGGTTTATTTGACTGAAATGAATCCGCTACAATTAAAAGCGTCACGCCAGTCGTCAAACGAGTTCACAACTTTGACCATGCAAATAAACCTTCGTGATTCACTAGTTCTCACAGTGAAAGCCTAAGTTAGGAGGAATTTGTCAGACTGAGATTCACATTGAAATAAGGTGACACAAACCACTTGTACAGAGACAACTGAGTGTATAGTGATTGCGTATGATATACCATACATATCAGTGCCTTAAATTCCATGGTTCAAAAATAGTATATGTATATATATATTTTTTCTTTTTTTTTTTTTTATACAGAACTGGTAGTTTTCACTAGCTTATACAAGGACACTTAAGGCCAAAAAAGGGGGTTGGGGAGGGACACATAATGCTGCCCTTTTAATTAACGAAACTCAAATCACCGCATTATTTGTTTGGAAGAATTTTAAATTGTCCGGAAACAATTTCAGTTGATTGATCATTTTTCAGCCAGGACAAGAATTGTTCATCTCCACTGTGCTTAAAAGTCACCTACGAAGGCCATTTACAACCAAAAAATGTCAAGCAGGTTTTAGTGCTTTGTCTTTTATGAGGGAGAGTGTAGAGTAAAAGCCACCAAGATGTCCAAACCCCACTGCATTAAATTACAAGAATAATCATTGAAATTCACCTTAACCCGTCATCAACGCACTGTACAGAAAAGACCTTCCTCTGATATCACTGATTACATCCTTTATATACAAATCTCAAAAGGAAAGTGATTTGTTGTCAAACCTAATCAATGTTGCAAAACAAATAATATGCTTCTCGAAGGAAACAACAGTCTTGCACAAGCCATCTCTCTAGCAACGCGTAGCTATAAGGGGGTACTCAGCACAGGCAAAAACAGAAACAACGTATTTACAGGATATACTTGTATAAAAGGGAATGTTAAAGGGGGGGAAAAAAATAAAATATCTGATGATTATTGTTGGTGCCGTCTGTCCCTGATTGTCAATGGAACTTAATATGATGGCATAAAAGGTCAGTGTTTAACACCTAATAGCACCTTAAGCGTCACTCAACAACTCTTTCGAGGAAAAGTCACTCAAACCGATTTCAAATCACATCGTTTCGGCAAAGTCGGGTCAAAACAGACTTCTGCGTGTTCAAACATCAATATTCTTTACTTGTGCGCTGCGTATATATACTTTGCCTCGTTTCAATGTATGACCTCAACACAAGGGATTTCCATCACATGGTTTGTTTCCCCAAACACGAGATTCGTCTCCATTCGAAATATTTGATGATGCTTCACACACACACACACACACAAAAAAAAAAAACGTGTTCTTAATTACAGGATTTTTTTTTTTTTTTTTTGGACACTGTGATACAAAAGTACTACATTCTTTTTGTAGTGAAAAATGTGCAAATTGTGCCGACGCCAAGCACAATCCTTTTAAGTCATTTCACTACAAATTGCGTTTAGGAAGATTGGGCGACCCACAGGACATCGAATTCATGTGGGAGTAAGGGACCTCAGTTTGATGCAGGCAATGACGAAAAAAAATGTACAGGTGGGCAAACTGTTTTCACATGAAATTCAACCCCCCACCCCCCAAAAAAATGCAACAAGATTTCAGATTGGATACCTAATCCTTCAGTCCTGTCAAATGTTTTCCATTCAGTGCACACCACGAGGCATGCATTTCAAGCAAAGGTAAAGTGGCAAAATTAAAAATCATTGACACGACATTAACGCGATGGTGTTGTCATCTCAGGAGGCAACGAGTGAGCAGTTGAACAGCTGGATTAAAAAAAAAAACAAAAAAAAACTTATCTTCACTGTTTCATCAATGATCAACTAGGGTAGGTAGCTAACGAGAAAACAAGACTGTTTTAAGGGTGTGCAAGCACAAAGTGACAAAAACATAAACATGTATACCAATATGGCATAAAATTTTTACTCATATTACAATGGGAAATCAACCCCAAAAGTTTCTTGACGATATGTTCTATGCGCTAGTCTACACGCGGCATTCTGATTAAAACTACGTTAGTGGAATATGAGTTAAGCAGTAAAATCCATTTGTCCATCTTCGGGTGCGACCCACTTAGCCACTTGCGGGTGACTGAAAATGACATCACAGGTGCTCAGGTAACAACCAATCACAGGTCAACAGTTTTCTGAAGCTGAACCATGATTGGTTGTCACCTGAGCAACCGTGATGTCATTTTCAATCGACAGCAAGGGGCAAAATGGCCGCCCCCTAGGATGAACAAATGAACTGGACTGCTTAACTCATATTCCACCAACGCAATATTAATCAGAATGCCGTGTTTAGATGAGCGGGGCTGCATCGAACATCATAATGTAAAGAAAATTTTGGGGTTGACTTCCCCTTTAAGCTTTGAACGCCTAATCTCTCAATGCAAATTCAAACGTTTTTAAAGGGGTACTGCCAATTGTTCCATATTTACCCACTATAATAAGAGCTCAACTGCATTAAAAGTTTTTTTTTTGTAATGTTTTACCAAAATGCCTAAAGAAACGTATACAAACGCAATGAGATGTGCTTTGGCAAAGCAGGTGAAATGGGATAAAGTGCTGCAGAAATTATTCATGTAGGAATCGCACCACGCGTTACTCCTCAACCAAAGGTTTCACTTGATGAAACGTCTGGGGACGAGTTCAACTGGGACCTGCTCTCGGCGACTCGAACTAAAGGGAACTCTGAGAAGTCCGTGCTGTGCCCCCGGAGACTTACTTGTCCATTGGCACCTGTAAACTGTGACGAGGAACCAGATCTCGAGGTCTGGAAATGAGACTTGAAGTTGGGATCGAAGGTGCTAATCTGAAACGTCTGCAGTATCGCTTGGGGGGAGTCCGTCTTTTTGGGAGGTGACACCTGTTCGAGGAAGTCCTCGTCAGAGGGGGACACCGTGGAAGGGGGAGTGGTTTCATCACCTGAAAACGAAAACGAGTGCTGAGAGTCCCCCACCAGTAGTCCAAAGTGAGGTTTCTCCATAGCGGATCTCAATGGGGAGCTCGTCCCCGATTTGAACCGACTAGGGGACGGAAACTGTTTCTCGGTGGAGAACAGCGGCTGCCCCGCTAAGGTCGGGTTTTCCGTGACCAGGCTGAGGCTCTGGCTCGTCAGGTAGCTGTCGTTCTGACTGGTCCTCTCCAAAGCTTGCTGGAGGAATTTGGAATATTCTTGCAAGAGATTGGCCTTCTCCGTCGATGGCTGAGTCTGAGCACCGGCGGCGCCGAGGCTCTCGGCGGGGCTGCCGTCCGAAACATCCGAGGAATTAATGGATATGCTTGAGGTCACCTCCGTATCGGCGACGCTGAAGGAGATTTCCGACTGGCCGTTCGCTTTGTTGGAGTAGTGGTCCAACAGGGTCTGAAGAACCTCATCCGGCAACACGTTCCGCTCATGAATCGCCTTCATCTCCGGGTTAATAGGCTGAGGTTCCAGAATGGTGGCCGGGACCGTTTCGTCGATGACGGCCGACACCGCCGTTTGAGTGACGGTAGGCTGAGACGAGATGCCGCTCGCGTTCAGGCTGTAATCGCGACTGTTGTTGGCCACGGCCGCTTGAAGGTAGCGTTTCTTCTTGAGGAACTGCATGGCATCGTCGTAGTTGGTGCTACTCGTCGCGGGCTTCGCTGGAGTTTCCGCCGCGTTGCTCACTTCATCTAAAAGGCTTTGCTTGTCCACGATTTCAAAGGTATAATGGGTGACTTTGTTGTTTTCCTCAAATGAGGACAGCGTGGCCAAGCAAGGAGCTTGTTCGCCCGACTGTTTAAACCTCCTCTTGGATACCTTCTTCAGGACTAGTTTCGGGGTCGCCGCCTCCTCGTCATCTCGGTGTTGGCCGGCGGTTTCTTCCGGAAGCTCCACAGAGTAGTCCCCCATCACATACTCGTGTTTGACTTTGGAGGACAGGGCAAAAAGAGGCAGAGCTTCACTTTTATGGAGTCTCTCTTCCTCTTTCACTTCAGTTTCTTTCACAGCGGCAGCGAGCTCGTCCGCTTGGCCGGCGGCGGACGAACAGGAACTGTCCGACTTGTCGGCGCACTTTTGTCGCTTCTTCTTGGGTAACGCGCACTCTTTGGTGAGAAAGGGGCTTAAGGCGTCTGCTTCGTGCAGTGCTCCACTTTTATTGGCGGCCTTGTTGCTCTTTCTCTCTCGGTTTTCGTGGCACATCCTTCGGTGCTTCAAGACGCGATCAGTTCTGGAGAAGTACTGCGGATGACAGAAAAAAACGATGATTGTGCCGCTGCTTTCAAAAGCACGAGTAACCCTTTCATACACCCTTTAATCCGATAACATGTAGTAACCGATGTCCACGAAAGCGTTAAACTTCAGACATAAAATTGAAACCGTACCAGCTTCAAAAAAATGGCAGTGTTCATGTTTTTTAAACTCTAGTATTATGCCCAAAATAAATGTGTACTTTTTGCGAGTATATCAGCTTTGCGTTCAATCGAACGTTACCAGATTTCACACAGAGTAATTCAATTTGTGCGTCAACGCGATCAGCATTATTTCAGTTTTCACATTTTTTGTGACATTTTTGTTTTAGCGGCGCCCCACGAAATCTTTGACTAAAAGTCGGGAAACACAACGGATTAAAGCTTCGCCGTTTTTTTTTTAACTGCCGCTGTGTGCTATTGGGATCCGCGCTAGCAATGAAAACATGAACCAAATCAGGGTTTAACCATACTGAACCGCTTTGTGGAAACATGGCCAGAGAAAAAGTGATTCCAGCGAGCTGGGCATGTCGCCAACACACCAAGAGACTATTCCAGGCATCTATTTTAGGACATACAGGATCCATACCCCTTCATGCCCCAAATTCTCATCATGGCATTACACCACGACGTAAAAAGTAGCCACAAAAGTAACCTGGTGACAGTAGTCGCATTGGTAGGGCTTCTCTCCACTGTGTGTCCGTTTGTGTCTCTCCATGTGGTATTTCTGGATGAACTTCATACCGCACTCATCACAGCGGAAAGGCTTCTCACCTAAGTATAAAAAGATACGCCGTGAGCCACTTGGGTCAAAGAGCGTCAAAGAAAGATCTTTGGGTCGGAAACACTCACCGGTGTGGATTTTCTCATGTCTCTGGAGAAGGTATTTCTGAATGAAGCGCATGTCGCACTGGCTGCACTGAAATGGTTTCTCACCTAGAATTTCGGGGGGGTGGGGGGGGGGAACACGGCGAGAGCTCATATAAAATCTTACGCTGTACAATAGTTATTATTTTCCTTTTTTTTTAAACATACCTGTGTGAATGAAGACATGCCTCTGTAGATGGTAGTTGGTTCGGAATGCTGCATTACAGTGAATACAAACATGGCACTTGGGGCTTTGGATGCCAAATGAACCGTCCTCGTTAATGCTTAGAATCTAGAACCGCAAAATGAACCGTAAAGCACATCAGTTTATAATCCCGGTTGAAACGGTCTCGACCATATTAAGCAAGTATTTGGCGATCGGATGGCTGTCACTTTTCTGCCTCGCCGTTACCTTTGCTGGTGATCGCTGTTTCCTTTTCTTCTTCTTGGGACACACTATGAGGTCCTTGACTGCTTTTTTGTCCTTCTTCATCTGCAGTGGGTGCTCGGTCAGTTTTAATTCTTGCTTAATGCTCAGCTGTTACAGAAGGAGCAGAGAGAGAGAGAGAGAGAGACGTGAGGCAAACAAATGTGGTGAAAATTCACCTATCGTAAAGGTGCCTTACAAAGCGAGCGAGTTCTCACGGTTCATTCAAGCCCATGCGGGAGCTGCGGTGAACGTTGCTAATATTTTGCTTAACTTATGCGCAGTACACACTGCATTCTACTGACTTCTGTCATGAAATTTGTAAGATGGCGTCACATGGGGACGAATGTGAATATTTTTAGATACCGGGAACGGCTCATAGGACAGCAGTGCAGCTGGACGATATGTGGGTTCACGAGCCTCAGATTGCAATATTTAGTTTGAAAATGTTTTGTTTTGATACAAGTTTCTTTTGAGAGGAGGCTACATACAAGATTTTTTGTCCATGCAGTTTGTACCTGTTTGTACTTTGATAAGATAACATTCACGATTGAAGCCTGTGAATATTTGCAGTCCCCTTTTTGCACCACAAGTTCTCGTTGGTATTCTATCTCAGGAGCTCAATAAATAACCTGAAATTTTGTATTTAAACCAATACAAATATATAACGTAGTAATTCATATTTCATAGTGTAGCATCTAGTCAATCACCTCTAAAATTGTCCACAATTAATTTGTCAGTCCGTTAAAAAAATATACATATAAAGTCAACTCAGTTCTATCTCTATTGTACCATCAAAATAATTCAATTTCCATTATTTCCTGAGGGGAAAAAATTGTTTGACCAAACAGGCCTCTCACAACAGCCCATATCACAATTTCAGCATTTTAAACATAATACAATAAAGGCATTTATAGCTCAAGTGTTTACTTACTTTCAGTACTGTGCACAAGTCTTTTTTTTAACCAGTAAGTAGCTTCTGTTTACAGTTAAAACAAGATTTTTTTTTTAATCGCAGCATTACTAAAGAAAACAAATATAAGAGTGGCCAGCAACTTTTACTGAATATCAGTGAAGTTCCCCAAACATTTAAGTGGAATAAACTCACAGGCAAGCAGGGCAATTTATGGGTGAGCTTCAGGGGGAAATGCACTCCCACCTCTCCTCCTCCCTCTTCATCACCTCCGCCACTGTTCTTGGACATCTCCTGCATCATCAGCTGCTCGGGAGGTACCAGGTCGTGAGTCACCAGCGAGCTCACGGTCAAGTTCTCATCTTCGTCCTCATCGTCATCGTCTTCCGCCAACAACGGGTGGTCTGCCAGAGATCGTTCCCCCAGCGTCATCACCAGGCCGACTCTCCCTCCGCTGTCTATCCCGCCGCTGCTGCACTTAAACAGCATGCCCTCCAACTTGTCCTCAGTGTTCATCGTACATAGAGTAGCGACTGACTCTGTGAGAAAACGACACATGAGGTAACCGCGTGTTGCAATAAAAGTCTAATATTTGCACGGCAGATTGCAATGCTGAATAATCCATTCATTTTCTACAGCACTTGTCCTCATACTGGTGAGCCGCCACCTATCCAAGCCAAATAAGGGTTGAAGCAAGCGTGCAAACTCCACTCAGGGGGGTCAGTGCCCAGATTCAAACACAGAACCTAAAAACTGCGTGGCAGATGTTCTGACCACGGTAACTGAAGTCATACGAAAATGTTTCCCCCAAGAGAGTTAATCCTCAAACCAGTAGGAACTCGTGTAACAGGTCAACGATTTAGGCGTTATCTCACAAACTGTTCTCCACACCGGAATTCCATAACAAGATGAAGATCTGTTTCGTATCGGTGAAATTTTGTTATTTTGTTCTTACCGTTCATCAAAAATACAATATGCGACCCCGCAATCTTGCATAACTCATGCAAACACACTCTTATGATTTAAATAAAACATTGAGTATTCTGTACAAGTGCGTAATTACAAGCTCGCAGAAGCGCTGACAAAACAACTTGGTCAGACACTTAGTAATTTAAACATTCCGCTTGTTTTGACGTTTCTAAAAACGAGACATAAGCAAGTTGGGAGCAACCAATGTTAAACATTTCGCGTTTGCTAATTGACCTCATGGGCGATTCTTCCTGGAGGTTTGCAGCGAGTAAAGGCTGACCCGTGTGACCGAAAGACAGATGTAAACACGGCAGCTACTTGTTTGCATGCGTTTGCAGCCTGTTTGTTGTTAATGTAAAGTGGGTTCGGCTAAACTGGTTGGCTAGATGGCTCGTTAGCTTATGCTCGTCATTGTAGTAAAATTGAGAACGCGGATACACTGGGTGAGATTTCAAAATTAAAGTTCTTTCACGGCTTATAATGAGAACAAAAAGGAGTTATTTGAAACTGTTCAATTTTATATTACATTACAGTTTACAAAAAAAAGACAATTTTATTTCAATGTAATCTCAACGTCCGTTTTTCTGTAAAGCAGATCACTATATGATTTTTATTTTGAAGGGTGTGCCCGAAAAAACTCAAATGTTGACGCTGGGAGCCGGGCCTGCTTAATGTTGGCTAGCTGCTAGCAAGTTACAGCTGGTTTAATGTCAACCGTGTTTATATGCACTTATGTCCTTTCTCTTCACATGCAAAAAAAATGACCACTCAAATCGGCATATTTGTTACACACGATTAACACCCTCCGCTCGCATTACTGACAACATCTGTCAAGAGGTGCGCTTCTCTGAAGAGCTCGTAGCACCTTGCGTTTCCTAGCTCACTTCGCTCAATAGGCCCCATATACAGAACTCGGTTAGTAAAACTCGATAACTTGCTAGCTCGCTCAAGCTCACACGATACCGCAAGTCTTCAGTTGGCACATAGAATGATACTGAAACTCTCTTCTTACCTGCAACTCGCCCTTTAAGCCCGCTGAGCTGTCATGATTGCCTTGCAAGACTACAGTGTAGTGTACTCGGTGTGCGGAATAATCAAATATCTCACGTTTCACGGACACTTGAAAGTATGGATTTGTCGCCACCGGGTGGTTCGAATGTGGTAGCGTGCACAACAATGTGATCCTAATTACAGCTGTTGCTCTTTTAATTCGACACCTCTAATTGCTCACTGATCAGGTTATTAACTTATTAATTGGACAGTAAAACATAGCAATAAATTAAATTAATTATTATGTCAGTATGTGTATGTGTGCTACATGATCACGAATATCCATCCCAGATGTCTTTGAATCAGAATCATTTTTATTGGCCAAGTATGTCGAACACACAAGGAATTTGTCTCCGGTAGTACACGCCGCACTAGTATCATCATAAACAAGGACATGACAAATAACTATGGAGTAGTAGACGAGGGACACCCTGAAGTGGTTACCAGACAGTCGCAGAGGAGTTTTTAAATTTTATTTGGACAGGCAGATAGACAGACAGACCGATAGATAGATAGATACTTTATTAATCCGATGAAGGAAACGAAATTTTGAGAGCAACAATAATGCTGAAACAATTTAACAGTACGTTTAGTTCTGTGGTTTGTAGAATGCATTGCTGTTGTGCCTCTGGAATATTTTGACGTCCCAACAGGTCAGCAAAATATGACAAACAACCCCTCAGCGTGGTCATGCTATCACCGGCGCTATAAAGCGATTAAACGTGTGCGTGCGAGCGTTTGTGTGTGTGTGGGGGGGGGGGGCGCATTACATCGCCCTTCTGACAGGTAACTAAAACGTTCCAAACACCTCCAAGTTTGGTGCAATGCAGTTCAACGCAACTCCAACCGCAACAAGAAAGGTATCACTGCGAATGCGAAGATGACTGAGCGAATCTGTTTTTGACATCTCAGAACGACGCATGTGTTGCGGCACCGTGAGTTCGCAACGCATTTGGCGCACGCGCGGGCCAACGAGGAATCATAATCAACCTGTTTGCAGCCTCTTGCAAAAAGCTTGGCGCGCACACGAGCACCCCCCCCCCTTCCCCGCGCCCTCATTTTGGAGAAG